TAACGTATGAATTTCATAAAAATTAAGTGTTTCATTGTCATTACAACTTACACCTCAAATTAAAACTTTTAATGACTATCAAATCAAAACTTTTAATGACTGTAAAATCAACATTTTAAATTAAAATTGTCTATGCTTTAGTAATAATTCTAAAAACTGTGTTATTGCCTTAAAAAATTGAATGATTATTTAACAGATTTAATTAGTGAAATATGATCTTTGGTGATGGAAGTTCCAATCTTTTTAACAGAATTAGAAGAAAAAATGCCTGTCCGATACGTATTGGAAGTAAATTTTCGATACGATATGTTTCTTGTATATTGATACGTATCGATAAATTGATAAAACCCTACAGTCAGCAGCCTGCAAATCTTACATAAGACCATTGTTGTAAATTTACCTTCTGTTTATATATATATGTTTTATATTATGACACAACTTTGCAATTCAAATATTGCTTTGACATTTACTTAGTATTCCCACAAACTTTCATTACATATATGGTCACATATTTTGCCTCAAAATAATTGATAAATTGCCTTGCAAATTTAGAATGACAGAAGTGTAGACATAGGATTAATAGTGCATGTGCTACATTTGTGGTAAGTAAGTTTAAGGGTCGTGGTGCATCAATCAGTTATCCACATATTAGGACGCATTGATTGCAAGGGAGATACTGGAGTTTTTCAGATTTGGGAAACAATTTTATTTATACTTTGAGAAATGATATCAATTGTGTAATTTTGTTTTGTGAACATTTCTGCGATGCTTGTCATGAGCCCCATTGTGTGCGAGTTGCACATTTATCATTTTCAATGCAATTTGCATTAATTTTCAAATTTCAATCTTAAGGCGCAATTTGTGCCTTTCACTTACCAATTTGGTTATTTGGTGCGATTTGTACCTAATTTGTGCACGATTTGTGCTTTTATTGTTGATCTAGGTGCCAATTTTAGTTTGAGACGGATGGGTCATGCGACTATGTCCCTTGACCCATTTGGCTTAATACATATATTTTGGTACGATTTGTACCTAATTTGTGCACGATTTGTGCTGTTGTTACTTTGGGCCGCAAAATTGCCGCTCCAATTTTAGTTTGTGGCGGATGGGTCACGTGACTTTGTCCCTTGACCCATTTGGCATAATTTTGCAAAGAATGCTGTCTCCGGGGGGTACTGTTTTTTCCAGACTCCTTGGATCAAGGTGGTAATTCTCTTGCTCATCATCTATATTCATTTACCTATGCTGCCATATAATCATAATGATCGGCGCATACATTGTGTTATATCTAATTTATTATTAAATGGCCATGACAAGCACGCCAAAACAAATAAAGTCTTCTTTTTATTGACTGTATTTTCAGACTTCGTAAACCTTTTACTGGGGTTAATCTGATCAAGTTTGTTTCTGTTATTGTCTTGGTCCAATGTCACGAAATAATGGGGTTTATCCAATATGGATAAACCTGGTTATTTCGTGCAGCTTAATGTTTTACATGCAAAGATAGATAACTCTTAGTTTATTAACATTGAACGTCATAAATCATCGGGCTCGGTGCTTAAAAAATTCTTGATATTTCTTGTATGCGCATGTCTTCTAGAATATTCCTTTTGAATCTGTAAATTGAACGAAGCAGACGCAAAGATTTTTTTAAACCCACCCTCCCTCCCCTTAATTTTATATTTTACCCCCCTTTAGCACCTCTGCCATTCTTCTAATGCATTTTCATTACAACTGTTTTTTTTCCGGTTGCTTTTTCGTTTTCTTTTAATTTCTCGTTTCAGCGTCATGGCATGGATCGAATCTTGAATAGGATCCACCAGCTTGTTGATGTGCTTTGCGGACCTTCGATGTTGATGTGCTTTGCGGACCTTCAATGTTCCAGTTGCGTGTGGCTATTGACTTTGTTAGGCATAATTTTGCAAAGAATGCTGTCTCCGGGGGGTACTGTTTTTTCCAGACTCCTTGGATCAAGGTGGTAATTCTCTTGCTCATCATCTATATTCATTTACCTATGCTGCCATATAATCATAATGATCGGCGCATACATTGTGTTATATCTAATTTATTATTAAATGGCCATGACAAGCACGCCAAAACAAATAAAGTCTTCTTTTTATTGACTGTATTTTCAGACTTCGTAAACCTTTTACTGGGGTTAATCTGATCAAGTTTGTTTCTGTTATTGTCTTGGTCCAATGTCACGAAATAATGGGGTTTATCCAATATGGATAAACCTGGTTATTTCGTGCAGCTTAATGTTTTACATGCAAAGATAGATAACTCTTAGTTTATTAACATTGAACGTCATAAATCATCGGGCTCGGTGCTTAAAAAATTCTTGATATTTCTTGTATGCGCATGTCTTCTAGAATATTCCTTTTGAATCTGTAAATTGAACGAAGCAGACGCAAAGATTTTTTTAAACCCACCCTCCCTCCCCTTAATTTTATATTTTACCCCCCTTTAGCACCTCTGCCATTCTTCTAATGCATTTTCATTACAACTGTTTTTTTTCCGGTTGCTTTTTCGTTTTCTTTTAATTTCTCGTTTCAGCGTCATGGCATGGATCGAATCTTGAATAGGATCCACCAGCTTGTTGATGTGCTTTGCGGACCTTCGATGTTGATGTGCTTTGCGGACCTTCAATGTTCCAGTTGCGTGTGGCTATTGACTTTGTTAGGCATAATTTTGCAAAGAATGCTGTCTCCGGGGGGTACTGTTTTTTCCAGACTCCTTGGATCAAGGTGGTAATTCTCTTGCTCATCATCTATATTCATTTACCTATGCTGCCATATAATCATAATGATCGGCGCATACATTGTGTTATATCTAATTTATTATTAAATGGCCATGACAAGCACGCCAAAACAAATAAAGTCTTCTTTTTATTGACTGTATTTTCAGACTTCGTAAACCTTTTACTGGGGTTAATCTGATCAAGTTTGTTTCTGTTATTGTCTTGGTCCAATGTCACGAAATAACCATAAATATGTATTTTAGCAAACATAAAGACTTGAAAAACACTTGAAGAAATGTTTTTAAAAAGTATCTTTTTTTTATTTTCTATCCCCTTCATGAAAAGTTTGCAAAAAATCGACTGGCTAAATACAGGGTTATTTGAACTGAACTTAATAAAGGGGGAACATTATCAAAGTAAAATATAGATGCCATTTTTTCGCATCAGGGTTGAAATTTGACAGTTTTTGCAAAGTGTTGCAGAAGTGTTCCATGAAAGAAGGATATGGAGATTACGAACAGTATTTAATATCAAAGTCCATAAAACAATACAAAATAGGAGCAGAGCGAACACGGACCTCCAAAACATCAAAAGTGGGATCAGGTGTCATGGAGGAGTGATCATCCCCTGCTGACAGGTCACATCCGCCGTGTGCTCCTTGTCATGATCGGGAAAGTGAAAGTTGCGGGTACTTCGGATGTGACCTTAAAAACCGAGGCCCCGTGTCTGCGGCAGGCGTTAGCACAATAAAGCTCACTGCTCAATGGCCCTGATTGCCGAGTAAAGGTCAAAATTTGAAACCTTTTACCGGCATAATTGATTTAATTAATACATTGAAAAATCGCTGTTTCATGTCGATGTTTTATAGTTCATTGGAAACACTTAAAATATCTCTTTGCTTTTTTGGTACTTTCTCATGACCTAACACTTCAAAGAAGATTACGGTATATTACCCAATCAATGGGACAAACAAATTTCACAATAGCTTGGTTAATTGATATATTGATAAAAACCAAAAAAGCAAAGTTTTGATATGTTCAGGGAAGCACTGATTCATGAAAGATTCGTTTATTTCATCGGAACAAGGGGGCGCTTGGGAGGGGGGGCTTAGACCCCCCTCAATTTGTTTTTCAAAAAAATACTTAGTACATGTATAGACATTGAACATTGCTTCGTAGGTTTACCCCCCCCCGTTTCCAAAGACACATCCCAGTATAGGTTAAAAATGGGGAAAGTAGTGGTTTTTGAGAAAAAGAGCTTGGTACTGAAGTTCGTATCTACCTCCTCCCCTCCCGCCGAAAGAGGATTTTCGTGTTTGGGAAATGGACATTTCCCTGTTTTGCTTGTCAGGTTTTTTGTGCATATATATAAAAAATGTTATACTTATCTCCCCCTTTAAATTTGCTTCTGATGCCAATGTACTTGACATAAAATGTTATTAATAGAGATAAAGTACATGTATCAAAACATGTTGACAACGGTACATTCCAATCATTATCTTACTAGAGTACATGTAGTAGCAAAAACACCCAAAGCCTATATTGTCTGCTACATTTATTACTGTTTCACAGTGAAAGGATATCTTAAAATTGAACAATCATTTCTATCGCAAAGTTACAGCAGGCCTTTTGAAACATTCCTAGATACTCTTACAAAATATTCTTAGACAAACGCGAAATTTAAAATCAAGTTAAAAAACTTAAAAGTTTAAGTTTTATGCAATTATCTTTTTATCTCTCATTCATGTAAAATGAATATTTACATTCCGATCACTCTGCTGCACAGAATTTTTAATTATTTTAGATATAGATTCTTCATCTGAATTCGAAAACATTGACACATATTCTCAAACGTTTGTAATGGTTCATAATGAATACATCTCAGAGATTCAATTTCCCTATCAAAAATGGTAAAACAATAAACAATGACATATACATGACATATGAAGATAACAAACAGTAGTCAAGATAAAGATCCATATAACGATATTAAACAGGAGCAGAGGAAACACGGACCTCCAAAACATCGGAGGAGGGATCAGGTGCAATGGAGGAATGAGAATCCCCAAGCAATTAGTATGAGAAACGTTGTTGTAGTTGCTGACAAGATCATTGTATCGCCCAAAGAACTTAACGAAATGATTATTTTCAACGAGACTGCTGAATTTCTTCAAAATAAAATTTTCTTAACTTGCAGAGACCAATTTCTATTCTTCATCTCCTTCAGACTGCTTTAAATAGTATATTTCTATATCTTATAGATAATTTATCAGAGAGTAAAAATTCAATGCAGAGTTCAACGTGGGCGTGTAGTCCTACAAACTGCCAGATGTATGCAGCAAACAACGCAGTTGATGGAGACATCAATACATGTGTAAGAACAAGTATGATTGGTACGACTTCTGTGGACAAAACTGTGTGGTGGAGAGTGGACCTTGGTGACATAAAGAGCATCTACAGTATCAGGATACAATTTAAAGACTATGGACAGCAATTCCGTATGTAGCGATTATATAACTTAAAAAGTAAAGAACATCAGTTTTTGTACGAAAGCCAAAAGGCTTATTCTAGTTTTGAAATACGAGGTTGGAAAAATCGAGTAAATGGAGCTCTTAAAAGCTTTGTTTTATTAATATTCAAAGGAAAATAAATGTCATATCAAACGTAAACTATTAGAGAATTTTTTCTCCGTCTTTTTGAAAAAGATCAATAAAAGCTCAGTATAGAAAAAATAAAGGCAATGATATAAAATACGAGGATTGATCAAAAAGTTCGTGGAATTCCGTTCAAACATTTTATCGTGATTTGATGAAAGCAAACAACAGGCATATTTATAATAAAGAGTCATAATGCAACAACATTAGAAAAATTCACCACTTTCCAATTACAAATAAGGTCACAAGAGTTTTCTAAAATTGTGAAACTTGGAGGATACCTCGACGTTACGCCAAGTTTGATATGTCAAATCACGTTATAGAAGCATCTCACCCTAATGTCCAATTCGAAGACGTAATTCTACAAAATGCTGTCCTATTCTCCTTTTTTCCAAAGAAAAGCCCGGGTATCCTCTCGCACCAACTTCTCTTCATTTTTCACTCGTATTTCAAAATGCTCCCCATCTTTCCATATGATGTTCCAATTTCAGCAGCAATGTCAAGAACAGTACGTCAGTTGACAACATCCATTAATGCTATTAATTTGTCTAGTGGGGTTAACTCTTAAATGTAATACAGAGCTTCTAAAAGGCGGCCACACCTTCAATCAACGTCCATGGCAGTTCTATTTTTCTTAAATTTCTTTTGCCACTGGGAAACCAGTAACTTAATTCATTTCCACCCAGCCTTCTTCAATAATATACGCGTTTAAGACAGAATGATCCCAGGATTTTCACATAACGTATGACTTGACTGAATTTTGACGTTGTCTAACATCTTAAAGATGAACAATAAGTCACCAACTAATACATAATTATATAATATAATGGCGTATATTGGACATTTTACGTGTTGCACCTGCGCGCAAAATGACCTTCGTTCCTCACATCTACATATTAGCATACCTATTAGCCCTAAAAGGTTTCAAGTCCATTGAATAAGCATTTTTTTAGAACACGCGCGGACAAAAGAGTACCAGAGAAGAAATGAGAAGGAGTTACATCAAATTGTTATACCTTTGTTCCTATAAATATGTACGAAAACAGTCTAATATTTCCAATGTTTAACTGAGCGGACATAGATCCAGAGAAATCAATGTTGGACCGCTGAGTGAGATGTTGGACTGGTCGGTGAGATGTAGGACCGCTGACGTCACAGAATGCATGGGGCTTAATTTCATTTTCTTCCGTGGTGTTCGTCTGTGACAGACCTGATGTTATATCATGGAAGGCAGTACAATATACATGTGTGTAAAAAAAAAATTAAATCAAATGAAAGGTATAACAAAACATTTATTGACTGATTTTTCGGGCAAAACGCATTCTGTCGGACCCTCAAACCAAACTGTCTGCCTTCGGCCTCACGGCCTGAGTTTGGTTCTTGGGACCAACAAAACGTATGTTGCCTTCGAACTTAGTCAATAAATGTATAATGTTCCTCAACTCTGTTAGGGAAACATAAAATGGTATACACAATGCATAATGAGCATCATATAATTATAATATTTTTTAATGTTGTACATGTAAAACACATTAAGTTGCTATTTAAACTTTCAGATAATCGTCAAAGAGGAAGATTGGCGGGTTTTTCTCTATATGTTTCGAACACATCAGAAATCAATAACAGTTATTTGTGTTACCACAACGGACCAGAATTACCTCCTCTAGATAATATCAATATCTGCACCATGCATGGACGTTATGTCACATTTTACAATGAAAGAAATGAGACATCATATCCTGTCGGTTTCGAGAATACCATCATAACAGAGTTATGTGAAGTTAACGTCATGGGTAATATTTACTATCATTAATAAAAGTTCTTTATTACAAGTAATATTGATTTTATGCAATGTAAATACATTTAATAAATATCTTTTGTTTTGTTTTACAAGGCTGTGAAAACGATGGATTTTATGGTCAAAACTGTGATCTTACATGTCCTCTTCACTGCCAGGAAGGAAGATGTCATATAATAAATGGAACCTGTCTTGGTTGTGCAGCTGGCTGGATCGGAGATTTCTGTAACCAAAGTAAAAATCAAAATCTCCTGCTCCAGAATTATGAGACATGTCACGTTTTTCAATCATTTATAAATTTATTTTCTATTGTAAAACGACATTTGAAGATTTAAATAATTGTAAATGTGAGGCAATTAAAACAAATCAAATACAATATAATTTCTATCAAGATTAATCTTATTTGACACAGATTGAGGTTGTTATTCTTGAGTTCAATTGCAGAAAAAATCATTTTATTTTAAAATGTAAAGGAAAACTTTTAAATATTTCATAATATTTAAAATTAGCTTGCATGGTTGGATATTATGGTATGGAGTGTAAAGCAAAGTGTACAGGTCATTGTCTTGGTGGTGCTTCCTGTAATCATATAAGTGGAAAATGTGAACATGGATGCGAAGAGGGATGGATGACACCCACTTGTGATCAACGTATGTACATGTTTGTGCATTG